TTTTTTTTTTAAAATAATATTTGAACGTTTGCTCAGTTTTTATCATCATCAGTCATATATTGAATATATTTATTTTCCTTGCACTTTTTTATTTTTTACTATTTTTCGGAATAGAATCGTATAGCACATGATTGCTCCGTGAAAGTATTGACTTATAAGGAAGAACAGTTAAAAGTTTTTACAAACGGTAAACGTAAGGAGTATTTGTAGTAATATAATAGTAATATAATCCGTGCGGACTATTTACAATGTTTTTTTCGTTTATTTTTTTGTTGACAGACTTTTGATACGTTATTTCACTTGTAGTGTGATCGGGTTTTCGTCGCGACGTAGTGCAAAGAAGGCAATAGAAAAGATGAGCGGAAAACAAATCGACGGTCAAACTGTGCAGGTGTGTATGGTATCAATTAAATTCACAGCTGCATCTACTGACTATCGGTCCTGCCACCTACCTACCTGTTGATTGATTTTGCTCCTCTTCTAGGTGGCTGCAGCTGAAAAAGAAGAATCTAAATCAGAGTCGACGAAAGAGAAAGCAGATCACCCGTCCGAAGAGAGAAGGTTTTTTTCAATGTTTCTTTCCTTATTTTTGCATTCATCTACCACAGCGCTTAAATTTTTTTTGTTGCCTACTGGATATTGCTATTTTTTGTTGCCGGTAGTCCAACCTTAAACATTTGAATTACTTTTGCGGGAGACTTTTGATTTTTTAAGCGTCGAGACGTGAAAGTGGCATCGTTATTTATTCATTTTTTTTTAATAACCCAAGTACGCTTTTGGCGTAAACGCTTTCAGGTTTTTTCTTAGAAAATAATAGCCGATTGGTTAATTCGAGGGGTGGGGTTTACAAATAGTTAGTATTTTTTATTCGGCACTTACGCCACAATTTGGAAGGCTAGGGTGATATTGCAGCATTTCGCGTTCAAAATCGCCTTCGTCTGCATCAGAGGAAAAGGACAAGCATGAAACCAAACAGTCTGATGAAAGTGATAAAAAGTCTGATGTACAAGAAGATAAACAATCATCGGAAAATGGCGATGCAGCACATCCGGAAACAAATGGCACTGTTAGTTCCTAACTTTTTCTTTTTTTTCTTTTTTACAATTCTATTGTTATGGTTTGTTACTCTCTCTTGAAGTTAATTCGAGCTTGATATTAGATTAGAAAGTAGAGTTGTGTCCAGCTGCAGTTTCGTTGTTTATTTATTGGAGTGTTTATTTGAGATAGAGAATGATACTGTTTTTTAAGAGTCGTAAAAGGTTAGGGAACGACGACGACCGAAATGAGGATGAGGAGGATGCAGGTGATGAACCAGAAGTAAAGAAAAAGAAGCAAGAACATAAAGAAGATGCCGGAGAGGTTTGTTATAGGGCATCTCTTGAATTTGGCAATAGTTTTACCATCGATTTGGATCAAGATTTCCATGACTTCTATTGAAGCCATAGGTGGAATATTAACCGTTGTTTGCGTTGTGTTTGTTCTGGCTACATTTGTTGCTTTCAGGCCGCTGCGTCGGAAGGAGAAAAGAAAGAAGTTGTTGCTAACGATTAAGTGATCCTTTGTTTCAGTTTCCGAGCAAGTTTTTATTATTTCTCACCTCAGCTTCCGTTACAACTGCAATGAAATGGTCTCTTGGCTCTTCAGAAATATTTTTTTTAATTTATTTTCTTAAAGGAAGTTTTTGTTTAAAACTGACTGTAATGATACGTTCGTGGGAATTGAGACAAATTTTGTGTTCGATTTTATTTGGGTTATTGAAGAAGTAGTTGTGAATCTCGCGGTAGGCGTGATTTTGATATGAAAATGAACTCATTAGTATTTCTAACCTTTGTTTGATATGTTGCTTATATTATTTGAATATTGTTTATGATGGTTGCTTTATTTTTTCCAGTGAAACATTGTTAAACTTTTGACTAAACCATTGGTGGTTCATATTGTATCGTCATGAATTTATTGTAGTGTGTTACTTAGTATGTTGTTATTCTTATTTTACAACTGTTGATTAAACTTGTTTTGGACGGGTGCTTAATTGGGATTTTAAAAAGTTAGTGGGTACCGAAGATATGGGTTTTGTTTTTCAATTAAATGATTTAGCGAATTAACAGTGTTGTGGAGCGGTTTGGCGCTCAGGTCAGAATTCATAGGTTTCGCCTTGATTTATGTTTTGAGGTGCGCGCCGCGGTTGGGATTGCAGTGTTTTGAGGTTTTTGGAAAAAGGGAGGAGGCGGGCTATGTTAGTTGTGGGAGGGATGTCTGCATGTTTGGCGCTTTCGGGCGGTAGTAGTTGTTTTTTTTTTTTTGCGAGGGAAGCAGTTTGTGCGTTATTTGGATAGTGCAGGGGCGTTTGAGTGGTTGGAAAAACTTGTTCTGGCGTTGCATCAAACTTGGTCGTGGGGGGGGGGGGTTATGTTTCGTGGCACGGGCATTTGTGGTTTTCGTTTTGCTTGTGGAGCGGGTGTGTGTAGCGGCTTTGTTACCATTTTTTGCAGTGGACAAGGACGTTTTGGTGACATGTGTTTGGTGAGTTGTCAGAAAGTCTAATGATTCGGTACTGATTTCGAGCTGTTGGGCGCGGAGTGGCCGACCATTGGCGAAGTCATGACAGATTTTGGTGGTGGACGACTCGGGCACCTTATGGTCTTTGAGGGTTGCGGCTTTAACGGTGCTGTTGTGAGTGGTCGGTTGCTGCTACCGGAAAGTTTGGAACTTTTTCGTACGGGGAAGGTCGTCGAGATTTCAAACGTGTTCAAGTCCTCCGGGGGGTATTTGGCTGAACTGTTTTAATGCTGAAGTTCTTTTTCTTTGCATCACGAAGACTACGCTTCTGACGACGGTGAACTTATTGTACTGGAGTAGTGGCTTCTGTTTTTTACTTGGTTAGCAAACTGTCAGTTGACTGAAGTTGAGTTCTGTACTTCCATTCACATGGTTTTTGCTGGCCGTTAAGAAGCTGATGTTAGAGGCTGCCGGGTACTTGAAATCAGCAAAGCATAAAATATTGGGCAATAAAATATTATCGCGAAAAAAGGTTTTCTAGATATAAAAGACATTTCTATACGTCACAAAGTTGTAGAGGAAATTTTTTAGCTAGTATAGTTGAATTTCAAGATTTTGAAAACCGGAATGATGGATGAGTTTATATCAGTTCGAGCAATGGTCAAGATTTGGCCATTTGCTGCAACTGGTGTCGGACTCACTTAATGTTTTTTGGGTACAGAAAACCAGCAGTAAACTGCTCAAAAAATGTTTTATCACTTTTAAAATATACCAGGGATGTACCGTGGACTTTCCATGAGATGAATTCAAAGGAATATTTAAAAGCGGCGTTAAAGTTAAGTTTTTGAAAAAAAGTTTTGCTGCTGACGTTCAGAGTGTATTCTGCTCAAGCGTAAGTTGCTGTGTAGCTGTTGCATTGAGATAATGCAGACATTGTTTTTGTACAAATCTGGCAGATAAAGCCACTGGAGTACAAAACTGAAGTTTTGATGACTGAAAAGTTTCGATGTAGTCTGTATGTAGACCCTTGTGCTTTAAAGAGGGGGTAGTGGTTTAACCACTTTTATATTAATCTATTAGCAATCGTAAAGAAGAAGGTAGACAATAGTCAGTGTTAAAAGGTTAGTGTTACAACAATTTACAAGTTGTAATTTGGTTCCATGCTAAACATCCAGACCTGGGGTGGTTTTCTGTCTTTTGATGTGACATTACATCCTGTTGCACACTGATGTTCATCTAATGGGGTGCAAGATCGTCAAACGTTTCTCTCTATTTTATTTTTTTTCTTCGTTGTACAAACATTGATTTTTGCGGTAAACGGATTCGTCTAAGACTGCTGTTGTATTAAATCGATTTTTTTTTTTTTTTTCATGAGATTATTGGGTTTTTTTCTTGCGTTAGAATGAAAGCCAACGAACTAAATTTTTTAAACAGTTTCAAATGGACATCAAATGGTCTTTAGCGAGTAAATTTGTTATGAAGTATGCACTGAAACATGCGATGTATAAAAATTGGATACAGTTTTTTTTTTCTCAACAATTATTATTTTCATTTTGCTCTTTTTCCTGTTGCTTCAAATTTTTGGTGTTCATAAGTACAGTTCCTCAAACTATATGAAAAATCTTGCAAGAAAAACTTGGATACTTTTCTGCTTCTTTTTAATGCATTTTTTTCTTGCTTTTATATATGTCCATTTCTTTTTTTTTCTTTTTTACTTCCACAAGTAGATGAAACAGTTTTGGTTTTTTCTCATTTCATCCTAAGATTTCCATAAACTTTTTTTCTAAATCCAAACATTTTTTTTTTTTTACTAAACTTGCAATACAATTGTTGAAATTAGGGGATGGAAAGGCGAAGAAAAAATTGAGGATTTAACTAACTTGTGTTGGAGACTACCCGTAGTTCACATTGTTATTTGAGATAGTTCAACAAGACAAATATTTTCTTCACAACTCTCTAATTGACCGTAATTTATTTATGCAGTTTTTGCTGCTCAAAGTACACTTTTTTTCAGCTGCTGCTGCTATCGTTCAGCAGCTTTCAGTCAAACTCGGGAACAATTTTACATTCACATTTTTTCCACTTAACTTCGACGCGCCGCTCTCTGTATTCACATAAAAGTGTTAGTGCGCTCAGCAACCAGTAGAAATTTTTTTTTGAAATCTACAAACCCTAAGAGGGTCAATGGCACTGTAATAAGACAACTTGTTTGCTCAAAAAACTTTAATAACTGCTCGACAAGAATCTGTGAAACTGTTCAAACTCCCAGGCAGGGTGGGCTAGCGTGGGTTTGAACTTCAAAAATTAGAATTTCGGTTTTGCCCATCTCAAATTCCGCCGCAAGGTACATAATTACCAAAAAGTCCGACTGTGTAAGACTCTGCTCAACCCTAGCTTTACTAAAATCAGTTAAAGATATGCAGAATATTAACAATTCTTCAAAAAACATTAAAAAATCTAAATACACAATTACGCTATATCAACACTAGAGAATCTAGACGGAAAAGGCACTCACACACCAGACTTTTATGAACAATAAAAAACGGCCGAAAATACATATTTGATGAATGAAACAGAACAGCAAGAACACCAACGAACTTGACCTTAAAAGACTTGAAAAGAACACTGTGGTCTTTAGCTAATGCTTTAGCTAACATCATACTTTACATACCGCTCAACGACGCTATTTATGTGTAATAACGAAACAGCTCCCAATAAAACTGCGGTGGCAAAAATTTGAGCGAAGTGCTATTCAACAACTGTCACCAAGAAGATTTTAACTGTAGGACTTATCCATCAAAGATTAATACTTCTAGAAAGAAGATAGCTTATTTTTGCAAGAACTAAAAGAGCAATTTATCGCAATTTTAATGATCACTTTTAGCAAGGACAATGGCTGTCCGACATGGGATGTAAACGCAGATATGATTACGTCTCCCAGCATAACCTTCTGGGAAAGTGTGGAATCGTTGACTATGGTCCAGCCTCCCTTGACCTCCAAATTGATGGTCGTCACTGTCCAAAATAATTTCGTATCTAAAAATCTTCATATCACCAAAATGAATATCTTTGGAACCATAAATTTGTTGAGGAATTAGCTTCCTGGCAAACGAATGAACAGTTGCAAGCGAAAAAAGATATAGTACTGTGCAATGAAAAATCTAACAAGTTTCATACCAAGTGAGGATTTGCTGTGAGATGCAAACGCCAGAAAAAGCTATATCTCTTCCACTTACAAAAACGAGAGATTTCGATAAGCAACTATAAGGGGACAAAAAAAGCTCTCCCTTCCGGAAAACGCCCAAGCCCACGACGGGCGCAACCCTTGAGTTTTGAAAATTTTGATGCTAATAAACAAAAGTGCCTTATGTGACAGTAAAATCAAGCTTCCTTCACAGAGTTTTGTCCTATTTTACAGTTGAAGAATCGGTTAACCTTTGTCAAAGAATAGGACGCACACGAAAATGAAATTAGGATGGTGTAGCGGCAAAACAATCAGTTTTGGGGTAAAAACAAAACTACTCACAATTATTCGCAGCTTACAGATCAGGACCCTACAAGCAAAGCTAAATAGTGAGCTTTATAAAGGAAAAAATCTAATTTTTTCCCGAAATAAAACTGATCATGACGTGAGTTTACTGCTGAGCTAATTTATTTAGCACTGCATTCCACGCCAGGAAATAATGAGTAATATGCGTGAGAATATGTGGCTTGAAATAACCAACCTAACACTCATAAAAGATGAAAACGTACATTTAACATATATCAAAACAGAGACTCAAGGTGAAAATGCTACGGGATGTTCAGAATTATTTAGAGCTTACATTCCAGGCACTTCAACCCCAATTTTATAATCTGCGAAACTTTTATTGGTGTGGAAGTTGAAAATAAACACTAATCCAGCTCGCTCAAAGGCAATCACTTTGTCGTCCTGATGTTTCCAAGAAGTATAAGCCTAAACAAGTATAAACAATTTGCCACTTGAGAAAGTGTGAAGGACTAATAACTTCGGATTTTGGAACAACTGTTGTCAGAAAAATTCAGAACTTACAGGACCGCGACTTAGAAAATGATGTTTTTTCTCCACTTCATTCATCTCTCTGTCCCAGTTATTCAAATATTTGTACCTTAGCAGATCATCATCTACTAGATGCCACTGCCGTCTACAATAGTGGAAAGATTCGTTGTTGCCCAGCCGTGGGAAATCTAACCATTCAGGGTGCCCAAATTCATTCCCTAATTAAAACTCCCGTGCAGAAACAGTTGGAAGGTAAAAATTAAAAAGAACATCAGTCTTGAAAAAGCTCGACATTTAAAGAAAAAATAATCGAAGGTAATGTGGAAGTAAATACCCATAAAATTTAACCAAGCTTCTCCTCCAAGACCATATGTAATGAGACGGATCAACTTATGTAGTGCGATACCACGCTCAATGATTGGCGTTAAAGGAGTTGTTTCAGACATGAAGTCATACATTTCTAAATTCCCATCCATGCCACAGTTATAGTTCAAGAGAATGGTTTGGTAAAAATATGAATTTTGCAGTAAAAAACAAACCTATCACGGCGAGCGCAATATATTTTTAAAACCATTCTCATAAACCTAGACTGAAAAAGTCAAGAATTACCCTTGTCCATAAGCCAAAAAGCAATAGTCTTGTCGCCAACTAATGCCTGGTCGTGCGATTCAGCATAAGCTACATTTTTTTCACCATACCTGTTCCAATACTAGTCTTTAAAACTCATCAGCGCTATAAGAAAGGAACAAACAGCTACAATATATCTGAAACTAACCTTCTGTTCTCTAGAGTAAAAACAATATTTCCAATATCCCAATCTTCGTCGCTCTTATGCTTTAAAAGTCTAATCCACATATCTGGTAAAGCCATAGCCAAACGGTAATCGAAGCCCTGTCCGCCTTCTTCAACAGGCCTGCAGAGCGCTGGCATACCACTGACTTCCTTCAACCAAATTAAAGTTTAAAAACAGTTCTAAAGGACTTTGAGACACACTTCTTAACAACAGCTCTACAAGTTTTCTGAAAATTTTAATGAAATTTTGAATTATACCTCAGCAATCGTGATAATGTTTGGATACTTCTTGTGTAAGTACGAGTTGGCCAGCATAAGGTAAACTAACGAATCCGTATCAACATTAAGGCCGAAATACATGTCATAGCCGCCATCCAGAGCATCAGCTTAAAAATCTGACACAGTTTTCACATTTAATTCTGCTTCCATGAAAAAAAAAGTTTAATTTACCAATTCCGTGAGTATGATACAGCATTGAGGTAACTCCATCAAAACGAAATCCATCAAAACCAAATTCATCGATCCACCACCGCAGATTGGATAACAAAAATCGTAAAGTTTCTATCCTGTAACGATAAGATTGAAGTTTAAAACCCTATTGACTTACTCCTCAACAAGAGAACAGAAAACAGAACTAGCAAGAAGCCTCTGGTTTCTGTACTATATGTACCCGGGCTGAAATACACTCATCTCAATATCTCAACTTACTGAGTATAATCGAAAAGCCTGGAATCCCATAACGTGTGAACACCTCTAGCATTATCGTGGAAGTAACATCCCTGTGTTCCATCAAATTCGTTTAACCCATCGTCTACATTTTTCGATGCATGAGAATGCACGACATCTAGAAGCATAAACAGTCCGGCTTCATGAGCTTTGTCGACCAAATACTTCAAGTCATCTGGAGTGCCACATCGACTGAAAGTCTCAAAATACAGTTAAGATCAAATTATGCAATTAATAATTTTACTTTGCAACTCCCAAAAATACAAGATAATATTAAGGAGGCGAGTAGCAGAACGTTGATTCGTTATCAACTCAGCCGTTAAAACCTGCTTGACGTCACAGACTCCTAGCAAAGACTTTTGAAAAATTTCTAACCATTATTGCTGGAATATATAACGTAAATACACCATAAAAGAGGTGAGCCCTTGATAATTGCAAAGAAAAGACCATAAGAGATGCAGATCCTAAACTGGAATTCAGAAAATAAATAGTGTACTTAGAGTAAATTTAGGACCTTGCAGGTGCAAAGAAGCTTGTGACCTGGTAACCAAAGCTTGCGTAGTAAACGTGTTCCATCACAGCCATTAACTGTATCGAATTATAACCTTTAGAAAAGCTATTGTCAAGAAAACTGTACAGTACTATTTCGAATACACAACCTAATAGGAACAGACAATTCATAAAAAAATAAAAAAGCCAGTTCCATATGCCACGACACAGGAATAAATATCGCTCAGCAACTTTATTATCAATCCAACCTTACACTTCCAACCAAATTTTGAATTTATAAACCATCCTCTCGCTGTAGTGATATTATTACCTATAACGCAAATAATAAAACAACAGCTACCTTGCTTACAAATCCGAGGTATCACATCATCAGCAAACTCCCTATACGAATTTATTTTCCCTTGCCAACTGGATATTCCAACATGAGCCTCGTAAATCCTCAGAGATTCGGGCTTCGAAGGTTTAGGGAACTTTTGCACATAGGCTTCTTCAGGTGGGGGATTATAAAAGTTCTAAACAGTTTTTCCCTAAATGCTTAATATACAAATTAAAGCACTTTCTCTGGGGAATAATTAGGAGAAAGCATCACCCTACTTGATGGTAGATAATGGAGTCTTTGGGCCTCGTCACGTACTTGGCCCATGGAGAAAGTTTCATGCGAAAATTGCCATTTTTCTTCACTGCTACCTAAGAAAACTTAGACTGTCAAACTTTAAAAAGCAACTTCCGCTACAAGTTACAAGTAACCGTAACCAGTAAGACTAAATTGTTTACTTTCACAATAGAGTTATGAGGTATAGGGCAAGAGCCGTCTTCTTTGGCTGGAATGATAAGCTCCCATTTTCCATACTCTAGTTTCTTGTAAGGATGCGATTCCGTATTCCAGGAATCTGAAAGAAAATTCCTAAATTTAACGATAAAAACAAGAGGAAGCATTGATAACTTCGAAAACATACTGAAGTTTCCGACAAGAGATAGCGCTTCAGCACCAGGCGCCCATTCAAAACAACGTACAGAATTATCCTGCATAACAGTAATCCCATATTCCAGATAGCCCGACGTGAAAGATTCCCAGCCACCACACTGAAAAAAAACTACATCAACAAAAGCTAATCGACACCCATGCTAATAACTAGTGTTTTTGAAATCATAAATTTGGCTATTATCTCAGCTTTCAAATGATCTTTCCAAACCTTCCCCCAGAAGTTCAATGACAGTTTTGCCACTTACTGTTCAAATTACCAGACTGAATGCATAGGTTTTATATGGTACCTCTTCTATCTTTTTTACATATTCCCTAAAAACTGAATATCTGCGGATGATTTCTCCCTGGTAGTTGTACAGATAACCATCTAAATTCAAGAGATTGTCAAGATTCGGTGGCTTGCTGGTTTCTCCGCCCATCCTGCAAATATATGCAACAATTCAAAGTTCTAAAAGAACAGCAGTTAAGTTCTTACAAACCGCTAAAGTTAATAAATCCGAATAAACTTCACAAAAACAAATATTACATACAAGCCACAAATCTAAAAAACTCTTTGAAAAAGATTTAAGCAGGACTTTCAAATGACCTCTATGACCCTAAAAATTCTTCATGCTAGATACTAAGTAAATAATGCAGACTCGTCTGACATTAAAGATCTAAAAAACAACAGTCTGCGTACGCAGACAATAATGTTTAATTTATAATACATATAGGAGAAAGTAATTAAAGGTAACGGTGTTATACGACTGAAGACAACTAAATCAACAGTTATTGATGTATTTAAAGACACATAAATTGAGTGTAGCAAATATAATTTTGAAAAAAAGGCTGTATACTGCAAAAATGTAAAAGAAAAACGTGATATTTAGCATTATTTACAAAACAATAACGAAAACCTTTAAGTTTTATGAGCAACAGGAGCGCAAACAATTGGTAATTACTGGTGAACTAAAGAAAAAGAAAAGCAAAATTCCAATGTACACACTTTTTTCTATGCCGATGTAACATGCTACCCCAACATTTTTTACAGTCATTT